GGGTGTGTATGTTCTGACAGCATCCCAATGTCAAATACAATCTGGAGGAGGCAACCGAGTGAGATGTCACCGCTGAGTCCGTGTCACCACAGTGAGCACACTGCATGCGAATGGAATGGGGTCACCCCCATTGGTAGAGTCAACTCCCAGAAGCTTCTCTGGTTCTCCCTGGCTTTTCCCTTTAAGCCAATAAGAAGACCACATATCGAAGGGGCTGCGGAGCTCTCCAGTCTCCCTTGCCCTGTGCAGGCCCAGAGGGGTTGAGTGACTTGCCCAAGGTCACTGGGTGGAGGAGAGCCACACGCCATGGCCTGCAGCTGCAACCCCGTTTCCTGGCCTGCTTCCTCTCTCGCCCTCTCGAATGCCCCTTTGCCTCGAGAGTTTCGGTGGTTCAAACCTAGAGGGCAGAATGAGCTGGGCTGTGTTTTCACACACCCTTCACAGGTCACAGGCAAGATTTTACTCTTGAACTGAAAGTAGGAATTTATTAAGAATGGTTTAAGGCATAGCTCTCTCCCCACTCCCCACCCGAAACACATTAGGATCTTTTCTCCCCACCCAAAAAGAAAAAATTATTCTACAGGGCAGAAAAGAGAAATTTGTGAATTTTCCCATTCCTGGTGGGACATTTCCCCCAAAAGGCAATTAAGTCTTCACTGCTCAATAGGAAGAGGGCAGAACCCAGCCCCGCAGCTGCGTGTGACAGACAAAGGCAAGTGAGAGGAGAGCTCAGCTCAGCTCAGCTCAGGTCCAAGGCCACAGACTCAGGCCTCTCGTCCAAGCCTTCTATCAGGGAGCCAGTGAATCCACATCTGCCGGGTTCCTCTAGGCTGCGTGGAGGGGAGGATTAAGATTCTCCCAGAATTCATGTGCTGTGGGGTCAGCAATGCTGACAGCTGAGTTCATGGCTAATGAGCTACAGGGAGCAGGAGGCTCCTTCTTCCTCACTCGGAGATGGACAGTCCTGTTGGAAGCTGAGCTACCTCTGTACACAAGGATGGTCTTATATCAGTGAGCTTTTGCTGCATAACAAACTACCCCAAAACTCAGGAGTTTAAAACAATAACCACTTATTTAGCTTATGGTTCTGCAGGTTAGCAATTTGGGCTGGGCTCAGCTCAGCTGGCTGGTTCTTTTGGCCCCGGCTGCCCTCACTCCTACATCTTTGGCCAGCATCAGGGTTTGCCAGGCCTGGCTGATCTAGGATGGCTTAGCTGAGGTGGGGTGCCTCAGCCCCTGGGGGCCTCTCATTCTCAGCAGGGAGGCCTGGGCTCCATACACGGGAGCTGGCAGGATCCCAAGACAAGACCAGACGAACCCAAGGTCACAGAGTCACTTTGACTATATTCCAATGACTAAGTTAAGTCACAAGGGCAGGCCTGATTCAAGGAATGGGAAACTGGCCCCAGCTTTTCATGGGAGAAGCTGCAAAGTCCCCTCACAATGGGGCATGGTACAGGGGAGGACTGTCACCATGTGCGTAGATGATCCCCCCCAGATGTCCTTTCTAAATTCTTCTAGGAGCAAAGCAGGGGCTCCAGACTGGAAAAAAAAAGTTGAATAGAGTAGTCCATCTAAGCAAGGATTCTGTGGCACCAGCCTGATGGGCACCTGCTAAAGGCACACACCTTAAGCCTTAGCAGTGGTGAGCTGGAGCCCGTGAGCGCTAGTTCACCAGAGCCAGCTGGTAAATACTCAGGAATTTTGTGAGCCTGTTGTTAAACTGTCAGAGCTTGAAATTGGCCACGGTGGGAGTATTTACACCCTGAGAATTGGCAAGCACCACAAATCAGAGAGCTGGTTTACCAGTGCACCACAGCCCTGAGGCCAAAACAAACACTTTCTCTTCTAGTCTAATAAGTAAGATGGACAGGTACGTAGCGAAAGCCTATAACACAGTCATCAGAAGATGGTGAGAGCGGTCCAAGAAGCCCATGAAGAGACGGGAGACTTCGAGGGAGAAGAACTCATACTTCCAGGGGGCGGGGTGGGGCGGGGATTAGGTAGGGCATCATGGAGGAGGTGGCCTTTTAGCTGGGCCTCAAAGGGTAAGTAAAGACTGCCTCAACCAGAGGTAAGGCAAAGGCAGAGTGGGGCTGAGATCACAGCGGGTTGAGGACTATGACTTTGGCTTCCAGTGACAGGAGTTTAATTCTCTGCATCGTGACTTGAGAAGGAAGTGGTCCAGGCAGGCACATGGCCCTGCCCACTGCCCCGGGTTCTGGAATCTCAGAGAACAGGTGCAGGACCTTCTCTCTCTCCCTCCCCGTCTCAGCAGCAGCAGTGGTCCACCCGCCCCGGGTTTGACACCCGGCTGTGTGCGCTTGGACAAGCTGCTCAGTCTTTCTGAATCCTAGTTTCCTCCTCGGTGAAATGGATCGAAAGTAACTCCAGGGTCACCAGGATCCAGAGGGTGCATCCGGGGAGGAAGATCTGCGAACATGGTGACAGTCTTCCCCTCCTCCCTGCATCCGTGCCCCTGTGTGAGGGGGCTTTGCCGCTTCTCCCACGAAGAGCTGGGGCCTGTTTCCCAATCCTTGAATCAGGCCTGGCCTTGTGACTTAGCCGTTGGAATATGGCTGAGCACGTTGGAATAACAGCTTGGTGGCTGACCCCAGGGTAGACACTCTTGGGGAGTGTGTGTGTGAGAGAGACAGACAGACAGACAGACAGGCAGATGGGTTCTTTCCTTCTTCCCAGGCCCTGGCCATGTCCTTCCCGCCTCCCTCCATCTGCTCCTGGTGGGGCAGGACGGCTGTGGGGAGAAGGCCCAGATGGCCTGGCCTCGTGGAGGCTGGTTCTCCGTGGGCAGCTGTGCCGAACCTTGGCTACTCCAGTCCAGCTTCACTGAGGGAGCCACTTCAAACAAAGGGTCCGTGGGGAAACCTGGCCCCAGTACCCAGCCCCCAGCCTGTCACCTTCACCCACAGCCCATGCCCTCTAGGAAAGGGCTGTACCAGCCAGACCTGCCTGAAAAGGCCTCTTTGGAAAACAGTGCCGACCCCTCCAGGTACAAGGGGGAGGGCTGTGCCCCTGAGGCAGGGCCGGGTACAAGTGAGGAGGGCGTGAGGGCAGGAAACCGGCGGGGGCAGGGATCCAGGCAAATACTTGGCAGATCAATGCTCAAGGCTGACCCTGATGTTTCACCACCGGGTCCAGCTGCTCTCCCCCACACCTCCCCTCACTACAGGGACAAGTGTTTCTAGCTGAGGTCAGGGGCCCACCCATTTTCCCAACCCTTGGCCTAGAGTGCACCGCCTTGCCCATCCAACCCCAAGAGGTCCCAGGACAAATCATTTTCTCCCCCAGAGTGAGCCTCCGGGAGAGGCCAGCATCAGGCACCAAGCGCATCCCCATGGAGAAAGCGCAGCTCGCCTGTGCTGCCCCAGCCGCCCCAGCGCACCTCCCCGGCCCCTCCAGCTGGTGAGGACGTCCCTTCCAAGCCCCTGTGGGAGACAGCCTCGGAGGGAGCCGGACCCACATGCCCCGCAGCTGGAGAGGGAGTCCTGCGCTTCCTCGGAAAGCTTCTGCACCCTGCCAGCCAGAGCCAAGAGCTCAGCCCTGCCTCTCCGAGTGCTTTGTTCCACTTACTGGAGGGCTAAAAATAACCTGGCACTGCCACGGCAGGCCTTGAGAGCCCAGGGGAGCCGGCGCGGGGAGCGGCGATCCAGCACCTGGCACAGTTAAAAGGAGAAATACAGTCCCTCCGTCAGCGCAGAAGGAGCCAGCCTCCTGGGCGCAGCACCCGCCCTGCCCCCACCACTTTGTCTCCAAGGCTTTCCCTCGGGTTTCTTCCTCCTGCAAGTGAAGGAGCTTCCCTGCACCCCTGCTCCCGCTGCGTCCCCACCCCCACTCTTTCTCCTTCCCCAGCCTGGACCACCTTCATCCCTGGCTGGAGCCTGGGGCTGCCTGCCTGATGACTGCCGTTTAACACGTGTCAGAGCAGCGGCTCTCCTGCGGAATGCCCAGGAAACTTCAAATTCTTCTGGCAAAGCCACAATTAGCAACCAGGCTTAAACTGAAAATTCCCTTAGTGGGTACTAACCCAGCGGCTTAAATTCAAGAGACGTGTCTTGACATCCTGCCTCGG